CCGAGCGAAGGCGGCGATTCTGCCAGCCCAGGGAAGCTCAATCCCAGATCTTCCTGGGCCATTTGATTGCTTCTTGGCTTGAGACTGGCCTGGGGTGCGTGGTGGGTACTGTTATCCCCATTTTGAAGATCGGGAAACAGGTTCAGAGAGGTTATGCAACTTGTCTAAGGTCACGGAGCGGCTGTGACACCACGCCGGCCTGTCCTTCTCTAGGTGATTTTCTTCTATGAACCCTCCCACGCCCAGAGTGGAGAGGGCCGGAAAGGTGAAGGCAACCAAGGGTCGGTGCAACTGTCTCTGGGAGCGCGGAGGGCCCCTTCGGAAGCTGGCTTCCTGCTCTGAGACCAGAGAGCCAAGTCTCCAGCTAGGGAAGGGCCACTGGTGGGCCTGGGAATCTGGGGGCAGGAAGACCTCACCTCATGCTCACCCCCTATGCCCACCCTGGATTTCCCTGCCTTTATTCTCTCTCCCCAGCTTGGGTAGAAGAGGGGGTCCCACTGTGATACATCAGTCACACCATCCTTCTTGGTGTCCCTTTGGCTGCCAAGTCCCAGACATAGGCCAAGGGGCAGGTGGCAGCCTGCTAAACTCTCCAGGAAGGCCAGGGTAAGGGATGACAACTTGGTTGCCATGGTTTCTGTAACCCACGCAAAGAAACCAGTTTGGGAAGCTGATTCATACTCAAAGAACAACGGAGCCAGCAGGTACCCTGGAAATCATCTAGGGTAACCCCTTGGCTTGACAGATGAGGCCACTGGAGCCCAGATCCCTGCTAGGCACACATCATAGCTGGGCCAGGCCTGAGCTCAGGGTGTCTGCAGGGTCCTCCCATCAGCCTGAGGGTCATGAGCTGGGTCAGGTTGAGCTTCTGAGGTTCCATGAAGGCCTGAAGTTGGGTGCTGACTCCCTGAGAGAGCTGGAATTTGGGAGGAGGGGCCTCAAATCCCCAAATGTTAAGAGCCCTAGCAGCATGGCAGAAGCCCCCATGAGTACCTCTCACCTCCCCGGTCTGACACAGCAAGGCTACTGACTTCCCTGGCTGCAAATGGGAGATGCTCCTACCCTTACCCAGGGTGTCTGGTCCCAGGCTGGATTTGACTAGGAAGGGAACAGAACTCTACCTGAGGCTTTAATTGGCCATTGAGTTTTTAAATACAAGGCTAATCACTTTTTATAAGGTGCGTGGGTAAAATAGGAAAAGGACTCCTTTTTAAGTGGAAGCTACGTGATATGCTAACACAGGGATGATATCGTGGGTGTCTGCAGTTCTCTGTCATCGTCATCCTTGTGTGATTCACTGGTACAGCAGGGACGCAGCTCTGGCTTTCTGTGGAGACTGGATGCTGGGTGCAGAGGGGGAGCCCCGCTGCCAGCTGCCGCTGGGTGACTCAGTTTCCTTCTCTGTAAGAGGGGCTCAGGCTAGGCCATCTTTGAGGTCTGTTTCAATTCCTAGGTTTGTGGATTCCTCTCACTCTGAGGATGACCTCCCCAGGCACCTACACAGATTTCTGACACAGCCTTGCTTTCAGGCCACATAAGGTTACCCTGTGAAGGCACATCCCCTGTGAGGCATGTCTGCCTGCTTAGAAGGAAACAGGAAAGTTTCCTTTCATTTGTACTATTTCTGATGCACATACTTAACTTTTATAAAAATCCTGGCAGGCACACCTCTGTGTTTAAATGATGATGTAACTTCTCTGGGCCTCAGCAAACCACAGGCTCGGTCAGGTCATTGAGTGCCTGGCAGGACCTCTCAGCATTTAGTCTAAAGAAAGAGTGATGCCGAAAACTACGTCTGAGGCAAAACTCACTAGAAACACACAACCCCAAAGCTATGCAGATGCTCTGTGCCTCTCCCGTGTAGACACTGGCCCACCTGCAGACCTGGCAGGGGACCTGAAGGTCCTGAGAGGGGCCTCTGTCAGCTCTTTATGCTCCTTTGTGCACATCAGAACAAGTTTGTTAGTGTGTTCCCAAGTCTAGTGCAAATCAGAAGCAGTAAAGGACCAGGTGAGCAGCCACCGGCTGTGGGCAGGAGTCAAGGCCACTGGCGGTTCTGAAGGCAGAGGGGCTCTAGCTCTTGAAGGCCTTGGGGGTTCCTAGTGCTCTTCTCCCTGGGGTGACAGTGAAGAGAGTAAGAACAGCTCGCTGTTCACAGGCACTGGGGCAGCCGGCTCCCTGAGTGCCACAGCTGGGACGCTGACGCTTTTGCTTTGTTGTTTTAAATCTGTGCTGCTCCATGTTTGGGGTGTCACCAGGCAGAGCTCAGAGTGTGGAGGTGTCTAGTGAGGTCAGGACGTGCGTCTCCCCAGCCTCCTTCCCCTCCATATTTGGACGCTGCCGTCACATTTTCCTCAGTTACCCAGCTGTTGCCATGGAGAGCACGGTGTTTGTTTAGCAGGACAAACATTTTCTTCAGATTACAGCAGGCTGGCCTCGGGGACTTGGCTCCTACCAGGAAGACACAAACGTATTATAAATCTTGGGTTGTAACATACCGCCAGCTTGTGGACACGGAACACAGGCTGTGAGATCCTGTTATATAAAGTGCAAAGGCAGGCAGGATTAATCAGGCTGTGAGAAGTCAGACTGGTGGTGTGTGACCAGGGTTGGGTGGTGGCTCGAGGCCCACCAGGGGTATCTGGGGGGCTGGGGACACGGGTGCTCAGTTTGTGGACATATATCAAGCTGTGACCTTATGATTTGGGACTTTTCTGCGTGTATTTATGCTTTCATTTCAAAAAGCCAATTGCCTTAAGTGATTGAGCTGATTTCTGATTTCCACAAGGAAATGAACTTCCCCTTAAGCTCAAGGCTATTGAATGAGAGCAGCCTTTACCTGTCCTGGGGTGGCTGTGGTGGGTGGAACTGGGGCCCAGGCTATGCTTTCGTTCCCTTTTTTGTTTTTATTTTTTTACTATTTCTTATGGAACCTCTTAAAGTATGACAGTAGAGAGGATAGTGTAATGAATCCCCATGAACCCATCGGTCAGCTTCAAAGAGTTTTAGCTCTGGCCCCCTCCTTCCATCCCCACCGTTTCCCCCTCCTGTATTATTGTGAAACCCATCCCAGACTGTGACCTCATTGCAGACTGCACTTTCTAACGGCCCTCTGTGCGGCAGAGGCAGCCCTTGCCACCAGAGGTGTGATAAATGACCTGAGTCAAGGCCTGAGCTTAGCCCCTTTCCTTGGGTCTGACTGTTCTCCAGGGACAGAGCCAGCGTGTAGACATCTGTGAAGGGGGCAGCAAAGGAACCTCGAGGGGCAGGTGTGCAGGCCCCAGCTTCTCTAGCAGCCCCTTTCCTTCCTGGGCCCCTGGCACCCTGGACCATGAGCAGCACCCCCAGAACTGGAAACCCAGCTTTCCCGGGGCTCCCCAGGGCTTGGGCAGTGCTGGCATGAGCAGGTGCTCCGTAAATGTTTGTGGAAGGCAGGAGGCAAAGTCTGATTTGATGGGCACATTGGTTTTGCCAACTTGGCAATTTGAGGTCGGTCCATTAGAGCTGTCAGTGCTGAGTGATGCATTTTCTGGAAAGATGAAGTTTGGGATGATTTGGTTTGGTTTGTTGTTTCACATTTCTGCATGCTCGGTTGACCCTCTTTGCAAAAAAGATTGTCTTCCACCTAAGGTAATCATGTGACTCCTACTCAGTGAGCCCTACTCAGTCTCCCCGGTGCTGGGCCATGAAAGCCAGGAGCTCCTGCAAGGAGCTAAGTGAAGCCCTCAGGGCGTGATGGAAGCAAAGTGTGTGGTGCTCTTTCCTGAGGATGTCTGTGCGCCTGGGGTGGGGCCAGCTGAGCTCTTAGTCCTTTACATACAGCCAGAGATAGCTCTCCTGGCAATGAAATATCTCCTTTTAAACAAATTACTTCTGTTACAGTGTCTGTGTTCCCATCGTAATGGACAGTGATGATGAAAGCTAGCCTCTGTTGGACACTGACTGCATCCCAGACACCTTGCATGGGCTGCATCCTTTCACCCTCCCAGCAGCCAGTAGGAGGCAGGTGCTGCTGTTGCCCCATCTGACAGATGAGGAAACAGAGACAGGAAAGGAAACTTGCTCAAGACCACACAGTCAGAAAGTGGGGGACCCACTGAGGCCCCCACCACCCAGGAGCTACTCATGTAACCACTCAGCCTTCATAATTCACTCAGCAAAAAAGGACTGGCTGCTTGTCTGAGGAGGACTGCAGGATGACATAGGAGGTGTCCAGGAAGTTGGGTGGGCAGCTCCTTGGCAACTCTACTGAACCATAGCAAGAGCCCTCTGAGAGATCTTGCTTCCACCTTGCCCATGCCCTGCAACCCTGTTAAAGTATGAGTCACATCTTGCATAGAACTCTCCAGCAGTTCCCCATCTCACTCAGAATAAAGCCAGAGTCCAGGTTCTGCCACTTTGATGTGCAGATCTGGCTCTGACCTAATATCACCCTCCTCTTGCCTTGCCCTCTGCTCCAGACTCAGCCATCTTCTTCAAACTCCCTGCCTCAGGACCTTTGCACTTGCTGTCCCTACCTAAAATATTCTTCCTCCGCATCCAGCTAGCCTGCTCTGTCACTCTGTTCAGTTTGTCTTCGTTCAGGTTCTTTTAAAAGCAAAGTCTGGGTAGAGGGTTACACTTTACTGAGAGATGCAATCCCAGGGCAGCCATGGTGAGGGAAAGGGAAATGAAGAGGAAAAGGCAGGACACACACACGTGATGACGTCCTAATGATGAGGCCCTGCTTCACGGACACCCAGCATTTCACTCAGCCCCTGGAGATCTCATCAGCAAGACTACCCCCCCCCCCAAAAAAAAGAAAGAAAGGAAAAGAGAGGAAAGGAAAGGACAGATAGAAAGCTTCAGAACGCTCCAATCAATGGAGGGATGGAGAGAGGACTTAGCTGCTGACCTGTCCCCTGTGGCCAAAGTTCACCCCAGGGAGTGTGATTGCTCTTGGGTCCAAATGCAAATTAAGTCACATCAGTCTGTACTTACAGTGCAGTGCTTCAATGGTTCCTAGTTGTTTCCCAGATAAATTATGTGTAATTTATGTGTAAACTCCTCGCTGGCCTCCCTCCCTTCTGCACTCTGCCTACTTCTGCACTCCACTTGGATCCCCTTAGTCAAGCACTGGAAATGCCTGCAGTGCCTGGGACTCATGTGCTCCCCACCTGCTCTGCCCTCCTCACAGAGTAACACCCGCTCCTCACAGCCTCACCTCGCCCGCTGCCTGCAGCCTGGTTTCAGGGTCTCCTGTAACTTGTGATGCTCAAGATTTCTGAACCCAGCTGCTCCCCATATCACCTGGGAGATCCCAGGCAACCTTAGGGTCCCAGGCCCTGCCAGCCACTCAGTGGGAACCTGTGTATTTCCCAAAGTTCCCACATGCTGGGCAGTGGTCATCAGTGCTCTTGTTGCCTTCTCATGAGGCCATCAGCAGCTTGCCATGTCAGGGCTGTGGCTGCCTAATTCAACTGCCTTCCGAATTCACGGCAGGTGGGAGCTCAGTGAATAAGAACAAACAAAAATACCCATGAGGTACCTGTGAATGACCCTGACTGCTACCCCCTCACTTGGCAAAATATGGAGAAAGACCCTGATGGGACAGCCACGGAAAGGCTGCACTCTTTCTGGCTGACAACATTTCTCTCGTTTGCCAGCTTCCTTCAGGAGCCAACATGAATGAATTTGCTGGATTTGCCCCCAACCCCAGTAGCCCCACGAAGGCGCCCATGGAGCCCACACCCAGTGGGGCCTTGCTCCAGGAAGATGTCGACATGAGCAGTGGCTCAAGCGGAAATGAGACCAACGAGAACTGCTCCACAGGGCGGGACTCGCAGGGCAGTGACTGTGACGACAGTGGCAAGGAGCTGGGGATGCTGGTGGAGCCATCCGATTCTCAAGAGAGGTAGGGGCAGCCGGGGCCCGTGGAGGCAAGGCCCTTGTTTGTTTTTTCAGGGTCTCATTTTGTTGTAATTTGATTGCTTTACCATCTTTAAATCATGATGATCAACTTTTTCCAGATTTTTGAAAATCTTGTTAACTTAGAATAACTAAAATGTACTAGGGTTTGTCCTTCCTAATGATGCCACTTGGCCATTGAAGATCCGATTGCCAACAGATCGGTAGTGCATAATGAGATCTTAGGAGGCGGCGTGTCAGGTAACCTCGCCTGCAGCTGAGTGCTTTGTAGAACATGAACTTGCTCCTTTAGCACTGGCTCTTCATCTCCCAATACCTACTTTTCCTGGTCTCTGAAGGTTTTGTTTCAGTTTTACCTTAACCTCATGTTTCTTACTGTGGTGTGATCCAGCCTGTTATCACCGATTAGATGGGGGAGCTGTGGATGGAACAGTCTCTGAGTTCTGTCTTTATTTCTTGTCCTTATAGTCCAAGTGCCTACAGCCTGATGCTGGCGAAGTCTGAACACAACCCATCTACAAGCGGCTGCAGGTAAGGCCAGTTAGAACCTCCTTGACTTAGAATCTTTGGAGAAACCAAAAGATTTGTCCTTGGAGGTTAGGTTTGGGGGATATGTGACTTGTTTTAAGCTTCTAATAGAACCTATCGGTTTGTGTTGTGAACCCAGCTGTGCCCTTCCAGACATGACTGTCCCTGCAGGATGCCTGGAGCCCCCCATGTTGCTCTGGGTCTATTGCTCCTCCAGCTCTATCCAAGCAGACCTTGTCTGCGTCTGAGACCTGTTCATCTGGAACTTCCTCACCCTGTTTAGGTATTTGTAACAAGTGTATCCTTAGTTTCCTATCCACAGACACTTTCATATCTCACTGGAGCCACAGCCAGCTCATAGTCCTGGGCATGAGGGCACTTTGCCATCGTAGACACTGATGTCCACCATTCTCTCTGCACCTTCTGCTCTACACACGTCCATCCCCTTCAGCAGGTGCCCACCAGCCCTGCCTTCCCTGTCTCTGCTCCTTAAGTTTGAAGACCTTCTATAAATCTCCTCTCCTCTTGGGGGTCTTCCTACACTCATCATTCACGTTTATGTCCCAGGAAGCCACTGCTGTCCTCTGTATTCTCCTTCACTTAATCATCTTCTAGCTGAGGCAGACAGGAAGGCCCAGCTCAACTATCAGTCTGCTCAGCCAGATTCTGAGGGTCGACCAGCAGGCCTTGCTGGGCGCAGCCTGGCTCTCACTCGTGGGGAAAAGAGCCAGCTGGAGGGATGTCTGACCCGTTCACTTGTGTTAAAGCAGTGGTTCTCACCCACGGGCGAGTCGTCTGCCCCAAGAGACATGGCAATGTCTAGAGACATTTTGGTTGTCACAGCTGGCGAGGGTGCTGCTGGTCTCCGGTAGTTGTTAACCTAAAAATAAAAGGCCAAAGTGAGAGGCAACAAGCATTTATTGTAGGTAAAAAAGAACAGCTATTTAGGACGCACTGATTCAGGCAGAAACCCAAATAGTGTTCCAATTAGGAGGCAAAGGCAAGGGGTGTTTATGAGAAAGGGAAGGGGAGCAATTATATCCATAGAAGGAAGGCATTCTGTAGTGCAAATAAGGTGACATAGTGACACTAGTTCTAAACACTGTTTTTAATTTTCAGTCTGGTGGCTAAATGTCTGCTTTCCTGTTACCTTTGTAAACAGTTCTTTGGGACACAATGTTGGCCTGTTTTAACACTCCAAAGTTTTGAGGAGCAAGACTACAAGGCAGCTTGCTTGGGGATGGCAGCTCCAACTCCATTTTAAAGTGCCTCCGTTTATGTTATTTTTCACATGGGTGAGGCCAGGGATGCTGCTCACCATCCTGCAGGCACCACAGAGAACTGTGTGGACCAAGATGTCCTAGTGCCGGTTGAGAAACGGGACCAGACGGACATCTCTTCAGAAAAGGGCCCCAGAAAGCTAACGTCTGATCTTTTTCACTCTAGTAGTGAGCAGTCTGCCAAAGCCAACACTCACAAGGAACTGATCAGAACGCTCAAGGAGCTGAAGGTCCACCTCCCCACAGACAAGAAGGCCAAGGGGAAAGCCAGCACGTTGGCGACCTTGAAGTACGCCCTGAGGAGCGTGAAGCAGGTGAAAGGTATGCCTGCCTCATGTGTTTGTTCCAACCTGTAGAAGTAAGTTTCAAATCCCCCCAAATTACAGCTTGGACTGTGTTGGCTTTCAAAACTCAATCCTGACACAGAAGAAAGAAACTTAGGGGTCTTGTGGAGCTGCCACAATTGAAAACCTCAATTCACTGGAAGCTGTCTATTGCACTTGATTTTTAGAGGAAAAATAAAGCGGATAGAAAGCCAGCTGATAGAAACCTATTTACAACATAAAACTTCTGTGCTGTGGGCTAGGTCAGGTCATGGTGAGGAGAGTGCAGCATCTTCCAAGCTCTGGCTGGAGTGGGTGACCGCTGGTGGCCCGGTGATGTGGGCAGCTCAGAGTGGAATTGAAGCGAAACATCCCACAGTGTTTAGCTGAGGACTTGCCCCTCCTTTAAAAGAAAACACGAAGGGACCCCAGGGGTGGGTGGGTTTAACAGAGCTCATCCTTGAAAGACAATATCTTAGAGCTTCTTCATTCAAGACCCCGGGCTCTTTATTTCTTTTTGTTTTAAATATGTTTTTGTTTATTTTTAGAGAGAGGAAGGGAGAGGGATAGAGATATAGAAACATTGATGAGAGAGAAACATCATCAATTGGCTGCCTTCTGCATGCCCTCTACTGGGAATTGAGCCCACAACCCAGGCATGTGCCCTGACCGGGAGTCGAACCAGTGACCTCTTGGTTCATGGGTTGAAACTCAACCACTAAGCCACACCTTTATTTCTTGTTTATCTAAAAACATGTGAATTTCAGTGGTGGTGGGCTTTGGACCAGGAAGGCAGGCAGGGCAGAGTGCCTCCTTCCATCACAGGTGCATGGTAACAGGACCTCCGAAATCCAGCCTCCATCCATCTGTGGGCATGTTTGGATTTTATCATTAGATGGCAGCATCTGACAGCTTTTGGCGCTAGTTGGTGGATAGAGAAAGGCTTTTGTCTAAGGACACATTGCAGGAACCTATGAGCAAACACACGGGAGGAGAAGTCTTTCTTCTGCCGTGTCAGGTAAGCCCAGTGACAGATCTTCCTAAACTTGGAATGGCCCAACCAGTTCATCCTGAGCACCTGGTGGGAAGTGCAGGAGGCCCAGATGTCTCCCACCAGTCCCTGCTCCACTACAGGCGGGAAGGGCCATTCCCCCACCACCCCTGGGCCCAATGATGGACCCAAAATGTTAGCTCATTGGGCTCAGACACTTTCCATTTCAATCAACTCCAAGCCCTTAAGTATCTGCCTTCACTTGCTCCTTCCACCAGACCTTCCACTGGGCAGACACCCCATGTCCTGGGTCTCAGGTCACCTCGGTGCCTCTGCCTCCAGGCCAGGACCCTGTGCTCAGGGTCACCTCAGGATGGTTTAGCTATAAAGTTGGTCGAGAGGTCCTCGCAGACTGGCCTCTCAGTCTGCTGCTGGGAAACGGGATGAGAACTTTGAGAATTCTTAAATGTCCTCAGTGCCTCAGAGAAACAGTAGAAGTCTTGGGGGCAGGTATGCATGTGTGCAGTCCTAGTCTTGCAACAGGGGACACTCCATGGACCCTTGTCATTACAGTGAAACCCCCAGCCCCTGCACGTGGAGGGATTTCTTAGCTGTTTGGTCCACTGACGAGTAAGCTGAGTCGGAGGGTAAGTCAGTATCTCCTTGGGGCAGATGTGTGAACCCTCCCCCACTTGACCTTCACTTACACATGCACTGAGTCCCAGTGGACACCACACATCAGAAACGTGCATAAGAGTAGAAAAAACCTCCAAGGCTGATAGAAAGGTGAAACAGTGCTTTATTCTGTTACCATCAGCTACTATCTCAAGGTACAGCCTGCAGTCAAAGCAGAGCCTGTCACTAATGAGGATACCAAGCCACGTTTCAAATAGTGTTCACATTTCTAATGTTTGGATGACTTCCGTGGGAAGGGCTTGTTTCATGTAGTCTGGCTGGGAGAGTTTGTGCCAGACATGGAAAGTGGCTATGTGCTGGTTTGTGTCGCCTTTTAAGGGGCCCTCTTCAGCCTCTTGGCCATGGCTGGGTCACCCCAAAGCCATGCCAGATATTCCAGGATGAGTGGCCTTGTCTTCAGGGTCTGTTCTGAGCAGGTTGTTCCACATGTTGTTTCTTGTGCCCAGTGACCTTAGCAGTTGATTCTGTCTGGATGGGGTGTCAGTTTAGACCACCACGGGAGGCAGAGCAGGGGTACCACAGCCATCCTGCATGGACATGATGACATTGCGTTATGATTGACCACCTCGTGGGGAAAGTGAGCATTAGGTGGAACTCTGTGGCCTTGTTATTTAAGATAATGTGTATTTATTGTTCACAAAGTTCTGTAACCATCGGCCTTCTGATTTTCAGGGGAAACCCCCAGATTTCTGTTTTGCCTTTGTCTTTCTGTGATCCGTTCTCTCAGCATCCAGGAGATGGTCTCCTAGCCCACTTTTCGTGAGAAAAGTGAGTTAGGAGTTGCCTCTTGGTCTCTCCCGCAGCCAACGAGGAGTATTACCAGCTGCTCATGTCCAGCGAGAAGCACAGCTGCGGCCCGGACGTGCCCTCCTACACCATAGAGGAGATCCAGAGCGCCACCTCCGAGGTCATTATGAAGAGCACGGTGAGTGTCTCCTGTGGGGAGTCCTCCTTCGGTGAGCTGGTGACCGCCTGGCCGGTGGCTTGATGGCAGCAGAGTTTGGAGTTTCAGGAAGTGAGTTCAGACCTTAGAAAAAGAATGTAGAGTCAGTGGTTCAGAAGTCCTGCTCCAGATGTCTCCCAGACCCTGTGCTCTCCTGGCCACTCCACCTGGCACCTCACACACCGTGACCAAGCACAGCACTTCAGGGTGAGAACACGCCAGGGGGCAATTGATTCACTGTTCAGGGCTTCATGGGGGGGTGCCCTGGGATTAAACTCAGCTTCATAAGACTCCAAACCTCATGCATTTTATTTTATTATTATTTTTTAAAATCTTCACTTGAGGATATTTTTCCATTGATATTTTAGAGAGAGTGGAAGGGCGGGGAAGAGACAGAAAAATTGATGTGAGAGAGACACATCAATTGGTCGCCTCCTGCACCAGGGCCAGGGAACACGCCTGCACTGAGGTACATGTCCTTGACCGGGATCGAACCTGAGACCCTTCAGTCCACAGGCTGGCACTCTATCCACTGAGCCAAACCGGCTAGGGCCAAACCTGATGCATTTTAAAGTGGCTGATAAAGGTGGGCCCTTGGAGGTCGGGACGGGGAGCAGGTTGGCCATGCCCTGAGCCCCCATTTCTCAGAGAGCAGCATTTCTCAAAGCTGTCTGGAGAACTGGGCTCCCACTCCTTCTCACCTTCCTCCAGTACTCCCCTCCCCCCAACCAGTCCTTAGCTCAAGAGGTCCAGAACCCTGCAGCCCCCAGACAGTCCCCGGCACCCCAGGAGAGGAACACCCCAGCCTTGGTAACAGAGGTGTGCAGGGCCCTTCCACCTCTCAATTCAGACGCCAGGGGCTCTGTACCCAAGAATACTGAATGGATGACACCCATGGGAATCCGCACCCCTGGGTTCCTTTCGAAGTGGAGCCCCGATGTGATTCTTCAAATAATATCCTGTTTGGACACCAGTATATGAGGGGAAATAGAGTTATCTGGTCAGGACTGAAGGGTCCCAGAGGCCTTCCCTGACCCTCTGTGCCCCTTTCCTGTCACCTGCCCCAAGCGTGTGCCCATCCTGTTCCGTCCCCTCTGCCCGTTCTGACCCGAGGATGTTCTTCCTTTCCAGGACATGTTTGCTGCGGCTGTGTCCCTGGTCACAGGGAAAACCCTGTACATCTCCAACCAGGTGGCCTCCATCTTCCACTGTAAGAGAGACACCTTTCACGATGCCAAGTTCGTGGAGTTCTTGGCGCCCCATGACGTTAGCGTGTTCCACAGCTCCACCACGCCTTACAAGCTTCCTCCGTGGAGTGTCTGCAGTGGGACAGGTGAGGGGAAGGGAGCGCCGCCCACCTCACCTTTGCCGGAGACCAGCACAGCCGTGGCGGCCTCTGTCCCAGGGGAGAGATCAGAAGTTGTTCAGAATAAATTTAGAGAGAAAAATAGTCTTTTCATGAATTTCAGAGAGGGAGCAAACATCTCAGAGGCTTTCAGGACATGTTAGGCATTTTAGCAATGAAGTTCTGAGAAGCTGGAGTCTGAGGTGAGTCTGCAGAGGGCGGAGAGCCCCGGCGCATCTGGGGGCGTCAGACCCTGGCTGTAAACTCTGGAATGTGCCTCGCTCATGAATAGATTTCATTTTAGCCAGAACTGGGATAAAGGCTCTCTGAGGCTTCGCTTTGAGCTCTGGCAGGTTTGTGCCACACCTTGGCCCTGATTCTGGTGCTGTCTTCAGGAGGACACAGCGCTCTCCATACGTCGTCGTGTCATTGGGTGGGTGACTGTGGGCTTTTTCTTTCAGATTCTTTCACTCAAGAATGCATGGAGGAGAAGTCTTTCTTCTGCCGTGTCAGGTAAGCCCAGTGACAGATCTTCCTAAACTTGGAATGGCCCAACCAGTTCATCCTGAGCACCTGGTGGGAAGTGCAGGAGGCCCGGACGTCTCCCACCAGTCCCTGCTCCACTCCAGGCAGGAAGGGCCACGAGCCTGTCTGCGCTCCCATCTTTGGAGCGAGGGGCCATGCAGCACGCACACTCCTAAAAAAGTGAGTGAAAAGAAAGCACGTGGCCAGAGCTGCATTTTAAAGGTTCACAAGGGGTTAAGACAGCCTGGTCAACAGTGGGGTGATTTCAACCAGTGCTCACTGAGGATGGCAGCCCGAGGAGCCGGGACTTGCTGTCCATCATCTGGAAACGGGCCAGGGGCCTTACCTGGGGAGGCGTGTATCCTGGGGTCCTTGGGGACCCCAAAAGTACATGCAGCCTTCGGTTTGAGTGTATATTTTTTTAAGTGCATTTTCCTGGGGAGAGCCCCGTAGCTTTCCCAGATAAGCCTCCAGCTGCAGTGTCAGGAGCGACCCCTAGCCAGACAGCGGTGCCCTCAGAAAGTGGACCAGGACCCCACTGTTGGAGCAGCATCCCTTTCCCTAATTAAAATGCAAACTGCTCTAGAGACAGCTCAAAAGATCTCTCAGGGCTGATGACTGTGACTTACCCTGTGACGTCATTGGAAATCTGAGGGGCTGGGTGGTGGGCCCAGCTTCTCAGCTGAGGAGAAGGCAGAGCCGACAGGCCAAGGGCAGCCCATCCATCTGCCAGTATGCTGGGGTGGGATGGGAGGGCATCTTTACAACAAATGAAGGGATTGCTGAGATGACAGCCAGCTATGGGGGAGGGGACCAGCAATAAGGGATGGTTCCTTCTGTCATAACTCCACCCTCTAATGGCACCCTCCTCTTCAGCTTCGGGAAGAACCATGAAGATGAGATCCACTACCACCCGTTCCGTATGACGCCTTACCTGGTCAAGGTGCCGGAGCAGCAGGGCGCTGAGAGCCAGCTGTGCTGCGTGCTGCTGGCAGAGAGGGTGCACTCCGGCTACGAAGGTGACAGCCAGGCCCAGGCCAGCCCAGGGCTCCTCTGGTCCCTCAGTTACTCCCCTGGCTCAGATGTAATGTCTGTTAGGTGGACTCCAGCGCAGCCTCCCCCAGCCATGGACAGGGTCTCCATGTCCCTCGAGAGTCAGCACACCCACCTTTGTCACCTGGCCCTCCTGGGACCCTGCCACACCACCTTCCCACGCAGTTAAAGGGTCTGTGTGCCAACATCTCACCCATGTCCGGGCCATCACTGTGACCGCGGGTGCCCTTCCCCTTCCCCACCCACTGCCTTCCATCCATGCAGTGAGAACAGCCCTGACAGTCTGGGCCCAAGTCCCTCCCGTCCTTGTGTACACCCAGGCCTTGGCCCTGGTCCCTCTGAAGTGCAGCGACACCAGCTCTTCCTCAGAACCCCAAGCCATCCCCACTCTTACCTCCCACTGAGTCTGCCGTCCTCCTGACACCAGGCTCCTGCAGACAGTTGGCCCCCTGACCCCCTGTGTTTGCTCCTAGCACCCCCTCCCCATCTCTGCCTATAGAAATCTAGTCTCTGTAGCAGGCTTATCTCGCCAGGTGTCCTTTCCTGGTCCTGCCAGCTCCTCAGGCCACCCCCACCCCCCAAATTACCAAGTCTGGGTTCTTCAAGCATCCTTGATCATGTCCTAGCGAACCCCCATACCAAGCTGTGACATAGTCTCATACTGGCCACAGCACTGTGGCAACTCAGCAGATCCCCATGTCAGAACCTCTGAAAGCAGAGAATCTATGACCTTACCTTCTCTCAGTGGTTAGTGATGTCTTTTTTTAAAAGGCATTTTATTAAATGGTAGAAATGTTTTAGGTATGTGGCTTGCTTTTAAATATTTGATGGGTTCTTGCATATAGAATATTGTCTTCCAAATAGTTCATAAAGATTTATGGGGTTACTTACATTTCAGCAGGTTATTCGCCCATAAGGTCAGTCTCCATCAAGTATGAAGCATTTGGAATTTTGAATGTTTTATCCATGAATTTGGAAGTTGAGGAAAGTTCTGGATATGACTTTCTTTATGCAAATTATCTTTGCCCACCTTAGAAACTGAAGTCCCAATACATAGATGTTTGCACAAGTTTCAATCCAAATACTTAACTCATTTTTAAAAAGAATTTGTTCCGCTCATCTTGTTGGATCTTAAAATCTTGACCAGGGCCCTGCAGCAGCAGGAGTTTCTGAGAAGCCTGTGCGTAGCGTGTGGTTTTATAAACGGGAAGTCCTGGCTTCCCTGACTAGGACTGGCCCACAGAGCCGAGGGGCTGGCGAGGGCTCTCAGGCTGCTGTCAGAGCCCCGTCACTGAACGAAGCACGTGGTTTTCTAGTCGTTGTCATGTAACTACAAAATGTGTGCATTTCTCAGAATCAGACATCTGAGCGAAATTCTATTCTTTCAGCCCCTAGAATTCCTCCGGAAAAGAGAATTTTTACGACCACACATACACCCAATTGTTTGTTCCAGGACGTAGATGAAAGGTAAGCCCCGTGTGCTGTCCCCGCTGCCCATGCCTGCCTTGTGCTCACCCTTGGCTCAGAACCAGTGCTGCATCCCCAGGCCCACAGGTTCCCTCCCTAGACATTTAGCGTTCTGTTGTTGTCTTGGTAATTACTTCATAACTAAGGAAAGCTCAATGAATGTTCATGGTTTTGACATTGAAGCTGTTAAGCTAAAGCTAAGCCTGCATGTTATGTGTGGTAATCAACAAAAGCATTTGAGTATGTTTAAGCAATGAGATAATTGTGGAATTACACTAAAAACCCCCTGAGATACAAAGACTGTAAATGGGGCTATCAGGGGAGCTGGTAATTGTTCTAAGACTGTTTAAACTCGTTTCAAAGTTAGACACGGAGAAGCACTGGTACAAGTGGGGATGGTGCGCCAGGGACAGGTGCACATCAGTGGGCGGGGTCCCAGCACAAGTGCACCTGCCAGCCTGCGTGTCACCTGCACCCTCTGTCCAGAGCCCCTTTGGGGTGTCCCGCCAGGATGCTGCAGCTGCTGGGAGCACTGACATCTGAGGGTTTGCTGGCATTGGGCCAGGGCCCTGGTGTGCCTGCCCCAGCTCCTTCTGCACAGAAAACGCTCCAGGCTGCTGGCAGTCGGGGAGGGGTTTGCTCAGAAGACCCACGGGAAGTAGACTGAGAAGAGCCAGCACGCTGCGCTTTCTGAAATGGGCCAATGTCACCTCCACAGACGCCGTCGAGAGTTAGGTCCTCTCCACTGCCCACCCCTGGGCACAGAGCTTGGCGTCTCCTGGGAAAGGTCTGCTCTCAGGTGGCCCGGGATCAGCGGCCTCCAGCTCCGGGCTGCTCAGGTGCATGCTGCCCACCACCTGTGGCAGAATGACTGAGAGGAGGCTTCAAGGCACAGGTTCCTGGGCCCCACCAGCCCTGCCCAACCAGGATCTCAGAGGGTGGGGCTGGGAGCTGCATTTGTGAGGCAACCCCAGCATAATTTTTATTCCTCCAAAAATCTAAGAACTATCTGCAACCCACCCCAAGAGTCTACTTAACTCACATGCAGAAGGTTTGGCGAGCAGGCACACCTAGTCTGCACAGCCTTCCTCAGCAAAGCCACCTCCTCCTCCTTCCCCTCATCTCCTCTCTTCCTCCTCCCTCTGCCTCCCGTTCCTCCTCCCCCTCTTCCTTCCTCTTCCACTTCCTGCCACCTCTTCCTCCTGTTCCTCCTCTTCTTCTTCCCTCCTCTTCCCCTTCCTCCTCCTTCTCTTCCCCCTCCCTCCTGGCCAGGCCTGGAACTGGGAGGACGCCAAGAACATTCTGTACATCCGGCCAAAGGAAAACACAAGGCCCAAGAGAGTTCTCCCCCGCAGGGAACAGGGGGGCCTCTCTCAGACTCGAAGGAGACTGTCCTTCCACATGAGCAGAAGAGTTGGGAAAACATCTGTGTGGATGCAAGAACACTGCCCGAGGAGAGGAAGGCTGGGGTGCAGCTCAGAAGAGGGGAGAGCGGCCAAGTTGCAGAGGGCACAGGACAGCAGAGGGGACAGGACTCTGGGAAGAGGGACACTAACGATTTCTTGGGAAACAAACAGCTTTTACAAGAAGATCAGTGGGCACTGAGCGCAGGTCCCAGGCAGTACTGGTGACCCCAGGGGAGCCCAGTAAATAGGAGTAGATACAGTGGCCACAGTAACAGGAGCAGGAAAACCCCTTGGGCTGGAGAAAATGTGCAGGCAGGGTTTCCAGGTGCAGGCTTGTTAAAAAGTTTTCAAAACTTGTTAAATATATCCAGGCCAAAAAAATTTAACATAAAAAATATCCATGCCTGACCATATCGGGCCAAACTTAGGAAACACAAAAAAGAAAAAGATCTTAACAGAAGAAAAGGAACATTTTCATGATTGATTCTTTCAGGAAATGGACACAAAGCTAAAACCACTCAGCTTATGACGGGTAGGACCTTGTAGGGTCTTGTTTTGTATTACAGACCCATGGGGATGCGGTAATCTTTCACTAATTAATTGAAAGACTGCTTCTCTGTTAGCCTAATTCCTAAATTTTGATCCTATAAATGGGGCTATCATGGGAGCTGGTAGTTGTTTTCTTTCCTTGTGAATGGACGGACGGTTGTAGAGATGGTCTGCTCCCCTGTTTGGAGGCTGCATTATGCAATGTGTCCCCAAGCACAACGGCAGGGGTGACACGCCTGTGCACTTGTCTTGCAGAGCGGTCCCGCTCCTGGGCTACCTACCTCAGGACCTGATCGAGACCCCCGTGCTTCTGAAGCTTCACCCCAGTGACCGGCCCTTGATGCTTGCCATCCACAAAAAGAGTAGGTCCCTTCTCCTGGTGACTCCTAAAGGCTTTGACAAAAGCTGGTATGTGCCTGGGTGTCTCCCGAGGTCAGCACCCAGCAAAGATAGGTCAGCCTGGCCTGCATCGTATGGGTGATGGATGCCCCACCTCCTGCCGGAGTCCTGGCACTGTCCGTGGGTCCTTTGTGGCCTGTGGCCTGAGTGACATCTTGTCCTTACTGTTGGTATCCCCGGCAGGTGGGAGGAGGGGGCACAGGTTCAGCTGTGGTGGGCAAGGTAGTGGCCAGGCTGGGGTAGTGGTCAACACGTGTGCCCCAAAGCCCAGGCCTCATAGATACAAATGACACGTGGAGACGTCCAGTGGAAGCTAGCAGAGATGTGCGTCCTGAAACATGATGATGTGGCCAAAAACAAACATTTGTGATTGAAAGTGGAACGGTTGTATGTATATATGCATAACCCATGGACACAGACAATAGGGTGGTGAAGGACTGAGTGGGGAGGGGCGGCTAGAAAGGGTCAATAGGGGGAAAAGAGGGACATATGTAATACTTTTAATAATAAAGGTTTTTTAAAAAAATATTTAATATCAAAGTATAATACTTCAAAAAAGTAAAGTAAAAAGAAGACACACACACACACACACAAAGAAAGTTGACTAAGACAGAGCTGCAGCTTAGACCAGCTGTTGGCAGCTCTTAAATTTTCAAATAGCTGTGAACTCGAGGCATCTGGGCTTGTCTTTTCTCTTCCTGCGAACCTGGTTGCTTCTCACCCCCGAATGCTCTTTTCCCTCCTAGTCCTGCAGTCTGGCGGGCAGCCCTTCGACTATTCTCCCCTGCGGTTCCGCACCCGGAATGGGGAGTACATCACATTGGACACCAGCTGGTCCAGCTTCATCAACCCCTGGAGCAGGAAGATCTCCTTCATCATCGGGCGGCACAGAGTCCGAGTGTGAGTGCTCCCAGGGCCTGGCAGAGAGGGTGCAGCGCAGGGGAGAACAGAGCTGTGAGGGAGAGGAAGAGGGTGGTGAGCAGGCAGGTGGCAGCCTGGGGGGCTGCAGAGAGGAAGCAGGGCCTTGCAGGGGTGTGCAGCACAGCCTGATTGTCAGACCATGAATATCATGCAGGGGCCCTTTGAATGAGGATGTGTTCGCTCAGCCATGCGCAGAGGAGCAGCAGGCCCTGCACCCCAGCATCCAGGAGCTCACGGAACAGATCCACCGGCTGCTGCTGCAGGTGAGTGCCCACCCGCAGGACAATCCCTACCTTGTAGGCAGCCTGAGGACTGCTCTGAGTCCTGAGGTCCCATCCTTCCGGTGACTCACTCTGCCCTGAACCCTGGTGCCTGTTCTCTCGTCCACTGTGTGGGCAGTTTGGGCAAAGTCTGTGCCAGGCCCAGACAGTTGGCCACACCTGCTGCTTGCCCAGTTTGGGGCAGCCCCAGCCTTGCACTTTGGGGTCTGTCTCTGACCTGCAGCCTTTTGCTAATGGCTGAAGGATGCACCTAGACCAGCCGTGGGCAAACTACGGCCCGCGGGCCGGATCCGGCCCGTTTGAAATGAATAAAACTTAAAAAAAAAAAAGACCGTACCCTTTTATGTAATGATGTTTACTTTGAATTTATATTAGTTCACACAAACACTCCATCCATGCTTTTGTTCCGGCCCTCCGGTCCAGTTTAAGAACCCATTGTGGCCCTCGAGTCAAAAAGTTTGCCCATCCCTGACCTAGACCCTTGCTCCCAACTCAGCTCCCAAGTCCTGGGTACTGACCCCACATGTCGCCTCCCACAGGTGGATGGGGTCACTCCAATTCAAGATGCTGTGCTAGCACGAAGAGGGACTTGTGAACACCTACCACTATCCTTGGGGACATAGTACTCAAGGAAAACTAGTGCGAGCACAGTAACCCCATGGCTGAGCAGCTCTCGGCTTCCTGGTCAGCAGACTGGGGCAAAACTGTAATATATCGAGTTTAGTTTCTAAAACCCTTGCTAGAACCAAGATCAGCGCCCCCCCATGTGAGCCAGAGGGCCTGTGATCCAGGGACCCTGGTGCTGTGGGCGGAGGCTGGAGCTGTGAATCAGGCTTCGGGAAGACAAACCCACAGGCCAGCTGTGCCCCCTCCCCAACCCTGTACCTAAGCCTCCTGTGTGCTCTCTCCCCAGCCCGTCACGCACAGTGGTTCCAGCGGCTATGGGAGCCTGGGCAGCAATGGGTCCCACGAACACCTCATGAGCCAGACCTCCTCCAGTGACAGCAATGGCCAGGAGGACGCCCGCAGGAGGAGAGCAGTAGGTCCCTCTGCCCCGCCCCTGGGAACCTGTCTGTGGTGCATGCAGGAGTCACAAAGCACATTCAACCAAGCCTGGCTGCTCTCTAAGTTCTGTTCATGGGGACTTACTTTATCATCTCTAAGAGTTGAAGCAGCAAATCCTGGCCAGGTGGCTCAGTTGGAGCCTCGTCCCATACACCAAAAGGTCATGGGTTCAATCCCTCGGGCACATACCCAGGTTGTGGGTTCGATCCCCAGTTAGGGTGCATACGGGAGGTAACCAATCAATGTGAAATCTCTCTCCCTTCTCTCTCTAATATCAGTAAAAACATATCCATGGATGAAGATTAAAAAGAAAATAAAGGGGGAAAATAGTTGAAGCAGCTAAAACTGTAGTTAAAGCTTTGGATGAAAAGTTATTTAAAGAAGGCAAATCAAGCAAAAGGGAAGGTTTAACTTTAGGGTAGAAGGAAGAAAATGGAACGTGCATCCCCCTTTCCTTTTATTGTTCTTCCAAATCACAGTCCGCGTTCTCTAACGTGGCCTCACAGATCCCCACTCAGCACCTCCTCCTCCTCGCTGGGATTACTCTGGCTTCTCCCTCCTCGAGGTGGGGCTGAAGCACTATGCAGTCTCCGCTGGAGAATAATGTGCTTATTTTGTCTTTATTCAAGGAAAATTCTAAAAATGCTAACAAGGTCAAAACCAAAAGTCATTATTCTGATGAATCTGGAGAACAGAAGAGAAAATCTGCTACAGGTAAAAAAATTACTCACCCTTTCCTCAGTAAAACTGTAGTCTGGCCAGGTTTTTCTGGCTTTCACCTGAACTGTGGGTGGCAGGGAATGTACCCTTTAAATGTGTGCACATCCCCAGCCCTGTCCCTCAGGCAGCAGGCCTTCACTCCTTCAGCACACAGCCCTGCCCAGCCAGTGTGGTTTAGTTGGTTGGGCATTGTCCCATGCATCAAGAGGTCACTGGTTCACTTCCCAGTCAGGGCACATGCCAAGGTTACAGGCTCGATCCCCAGTAGGGGGTGTGCAAGAGGCAGCTGATCGATGATACTCTCTCATCAATGTTTCTCTCTCTCCCTTCCTCTCTCTGAAATCAATAAAAACATATTTAAAAAACAAAAAGCACAGCCCTAAGCTTCTGTGGGGGCATCTGGCACCCTGCAGGCCCTAGCTCCACAGAGTGGCCGTGGGCCGTATGTTTGCACGCAAGTGAACGTGTGCATACACTCGCACCAAGGGCGCTGCCCAGCTGTCCTGCAAACACTCAAATCCCACCCTGTCTGAGTGGAAAGTGCCGGCTTTGCTCCTGGGCTGCCTTCTCAAGTGGGGCCCCACCAGCATGGGGAGCTGTCAGCCCACCCCCACTGCAGCCTGACCCTGCCTTACCATGTCACCACTTTACACCCTCATGCTTGGACTCCTGCTCAGGTGTGCACATGCATGCTCCCCAGGCATCTGCCCTGGTGAGCTCTCACTCATCCTTTGTGCTTGGGCCACATCTTTCCAGGGAGCCTCCTAGGGAATCTTGGGGCCAGAGCTCACCTCTGGCCAGGACTGTTGGCCTCTGGGATAGGCGCACATTGCTGGGTGCTGGGGACACACTAATGAGCAGGACACAGCTCTGCCCTGGAGGCCCCCAGGGGAACAGCGTGAGTGCACGTGGTGACAAGAACAGAAGTGTCCACGGCAGGCTGCCCCAGAGGCTGCTGAGTCACCTTTGGAATAAAGGGACTTCCAGGAGGCAGGGAATACTAATGGATCATAAAGCACCTGGGATTTATTGGCCCCAAAATTTCAGGAGTTCAAGTAAGAGCTGGCCTCACCCACTGCTGAGTCCCTGACCCAAGTGCCACTGAGTTATATCCCAGTCAGCAGTATCCTCCAGGCTCCATCCTCAGACGGCACAGTGGCCGCTGCCCCAGCAGGGCTGCCCAAGTATCAGGCTGACTCTGGGTTTCTGTGTGTGTGAGCCATGTTCTGAATCCCCAGCTTTATCCTTAGGTAGAAATATACAGAGTGTACTCTTTGGGGAAAACAAGTATTAACTGAAAGCAATTTTTGCCTTTCTTTCAGAAACGCAAAGTAGTTCTCCTGCTCAGACGACAGCTGTCCCGGCCGCAGAGGACAGCTCCGGTGCCAGCCCACCCACTGCCACCTTTCCAGAGGAGCTGGCCTGCAGGAACCAGCCGGCCGGCTCCTACCAGCAGATCAGCTGCCTGGACAGTGTCATCAGGTACAGGCACCTCCCGTCTCCCTACTCCGTGGTCTCCTGCTGTCCAGGCTCTGGCCCCATTATGTGAAGCCGTTTGTGATCCTCCTCACAGGTACTTGGAGAGCTGCAGTGAGGCCACCACCCTGAAGAGAAAGTGTGAATTCCCCGTGAGTGCTTCCATGCAGAAGGCCAGTGACAAGCGAAAGGCCACAGGCAGCCCCAGGCCACCTCCTGCAGGTATCCTGTTTGGGCTGTTAAATCCCCCTGGTGAGATCAGGCATCATTAGAAGGGCTGGAGCCCCCTTCGCTCCTCCCATGGGAGTTCTGAGTGGCTTTTGGGGACACAGTATATGGTGTAAGCTCTTTTGTAAATGACTACAGTACATAAATGTCAGCCACCTTCCTATGAGAGAGATGTAAAGGTGACTCTGGACTCTGAGAACAGGACCCCTCGGGGCTGCTGGAGGCCCAGGGGCGCCTCAGGTTATCATTCTCAGGCTGGTCCTTTTCCATGATGTCTGAATATTCCCTTATCAGTGGTCGGCAAACTCATTAGTCAACAGAGCCAAATATCAACAGTACAACGATTGAAATTTCTTTTGAGAGCCAAATTTTTAAAATTTAAACTATATAGGTAGGTACATTGTTATTAACTTAATTAGGGTACTCCTAAGGCTTAGGAAGAGCCACACTCAAGGGGCCAAAGAGCCGCATGTGGCTCACGAGCCGCAGTTTGCCGACCATGGGGTTAGGTTAAACGGCAGGCCACTTGAACGTGGTGCTTGTCCCGGTGGTCATTACTAGGATGGGAAATCAGGTATCCCGTTGTGATGTAAGCACATGCAATTGGACAGTCATGCTGTGATGGACAGTCTGTGCTCTGCCCACAGACCTTCAAGGGGCTGGGCTCCCAGCAGAGGCCCCTGACCTGAGCCCCCTGAGCTGCCCAACCGCCTGCCCCTCCCAGACGACCCAGGATGTAAGAGTCGAATTGTTCCCATTTTAGAATTTCTCTTCTCCACTTTTCCCCCATGAATAAACACGTGAGGATAAGCCGTCACATGCCAGGATGTGTACAATCACTTGGGTATATATAGGATCTGCTAGACAGTGGCATTTCTTACACAAATGGTTCGTTTACATTGCATTTTTGTGTCTCCTTCCATTTTCTCTTATAAAGAGGCAGTGGTGCCCTCTAGAGCAAGCACACATGCGGACGTCAGCGCGCACTTGACCTCGCTGACGCTGCCCGGCAAGGCGGGGAGCGTGGTGTCTCTTACCAGCCAATGCAGCTACAGCAGCACCATCGTGCACGTGGGTGACAAGAAGCCACAACCTGAGCTAGGTACGCTTGTTGGCTCTGGGATGATGTTGAGAGTAAGCTAATTTTAACAATAAAAATGAGAAGTTTTGACTGCCATCTTAATTTTTTTTTTTTAAGTTTATGCAAGTGCAGTGCAGCCCTACCACAGAAAGATAAAGGAGGTCCAGGAAATCCAGAGACCTGACGTGCAGGGCAGGGTGTGGCCCCACCTGTTTTGATTTCTGCTGTGCTCTGGCGCCACCTACTGGCAGTTGTCTGCTCAGACGTGGTGGTGCTGAGCCAGGGATCCAAAGCAACCTCCCCTCACTGGGCTGAGAGAACCCTCAGGCGTTGGATCCTTCTCCCCGCTTCCCTGTTTGAGGGCAGGAAAGAGCCAGTACAGGTCTGAACAGCAGAACAGCCAAGGGTGGCATCTCCGAGTTGTTCTCCAGAAGAGGGAGACGATGAGTAAAAAATACATGTCAGAGTCAGTGTCCAGACCCCCTTCCAGGACGGTCATTGCATCCACCTGCCCCTGTCCTGTCTGTACCCCAGTTCCACATGATCTGAGCTGTCATGTCCATAGTCCTGAACCTGGGCGAGGCACACAGCAGCCTTAGTCTGTTGTGCTCTGAAAGCTGATGACAGCCAGAGCGTATCTTCCCTGTCAGAGGCTGAAGCCCCGAGGTACCCGAACTTCAGCCTAAGCAGACTGACCCTGGAGCCCTGGGTAGTAGGGTCTCTGCCATTGCTGTTTGCCTTTTATTGTGAACCTTCTCAGAAGGCTACACAGACATTCATGGACTGCACCCCCATGTGGGGGCTTCGTGCAGTGTCTCACATGGCAGTGGTCTCAGGGTCGGTCAGTTGTTTTAAAGCACAGGGGCCCTTGCAGATGAGTGGTCTGCATCTTCTCTTACAGAGACGGTGGAAGACCCTGCAAGTGGACCTGAGTCCCTGGACTGCCTCATGGGCCCCGCCATGCCCTGCAGCCTCAGCCAGGAGAAGGAGCCCTTCCGGAGGCTGGGCCTCACCAAGGAAGTGCTGGCCGCCCACACCCAGAAGGAGGAGCAGAGCTTCCTGATGAAGTTCAAGGAAACGAGGAAACTTAGTGTCCTCCAGTCTCACTGCAGTTATTACCTACAAGAAAGATCCAAGGGGCAGTTGAGTGAAAGAGGTAGGTGGTGATACCTGAATTGTATGTGGATTTAAAAAACCTTTAATCCTAATAGTACTGACTCAGGGCAGCTTTCAAGGTATGAAATGCCCCAGCTTAGGAAGCCTGAGTTTGTAAGATTGCTGTTGGGACTTTACTAGTGATGCCATCTGTTTCCATGGACCCCTCTCAAGGATGTCATCTCTTGTTCCCCAGGGAACGGTGCTTTAAATGGTGGTGGAGTGCAGGATGGGGCAATTGCAATGCCACCTCATCAGACACTTCTTGCCTGGGTGACTGTGAGGTGCAGGGGACTCTACCCCATCTGCCCACCCAATGGGGCTCTCAGAAAACTAGTCAAGCCACAGCTAACTCACCCCAAAGAGAATGGGCACAGTACTGATGGGGTACTTGGTGTCGGCTCCTCAGGAAGGAGGGAGTCCAAGCTGATACCAGAGGATGTGCCCTCCTGGCCAGGCTGACTCAGGGCTGGGCTGCAGCCTCCAGAGCCTGTGGGTGCATGCACTGTTCTTGAGGCAGATTGCCACCAGGTGGTTGAAGGGCAAGGGGTGAGGGAGAATAGACTAGTGTGTTTGCCTCTTTTCTGGTCCAGGAGCCTGGCTCCAGACCCCTAGCCACCTTCCCAGGCCCCATGGACAAGGCTGGGCTGGTCAGAGATGCCACCTTTGTGCTGGGCTCCCAGGGCTTGACCCAGGGTCAGGGTTAGCGAGCGCAGGAGACACACAGCACAAGACCCCACTCCCCTGGGCCTCAGGGCAGGCACAGCGAAGTGAATATGAAGTGAGAGAGGCCAACACCCTCTGTAAAGATTGTGTTTTCTACTCTTTGTCATTTTCTTCTTCCCCAGACCCTAGGTCACTGCCAGGCCCTAGGGAACCTCTAGAAATTACAAAAAGGTGTCCTCCCAGCCCTGGGCAGACCCACCCAGTGGACATGGCTTGGGACGGAGTTGCAGCTCCTTGCCCCCTGGCCCAGCAGTTTGCAAGGTGCACAGACTGCAGAGCTGTGCACAGCAGCCTGCCCAGACCCTGACATGGTATTCCAGGAGCCCAGTGCTCTAGCCACCAGTCCCACCAGGGGCAGATTTCCTTCTGGAAGAACACCCGCTAGAGAGTCTGAATCACAAAACCTCCGCCCTCTTAGCAGTTGGCCTCTGGCTGGCCCACTTGCCTCCAGCATGTAGCAAAGGTGAGGACCCCCTTGGCACGGCTGACAGGTGTCCCACACACCTGCTGCAAGAACCCTGAGTCAGCCTGTGTGCCATGACAGGAAAACCTGAGGTTCCTGGGACCATCCCGTTGCCCATCCCAGCCAGGCTTGGCATGACTCTTCTCCCCCCCTCA